TATATATATATAATCCTTATAAACAGGCACGAATCTTAAAGTATTTTGATATATTTTGGATAAGATAAGCTCATAGCCAGATGGAAGATCATTTGAGTTTTAAATTCAACAAATTTATAATCAAGAGAGCGTTTTGATTATATGAACTTAATGAAGTATGGAGTGATTCGATTTGAATTCCAACGAGGTCAAAAGAGATAATCAAAGTATAATTGAAAGTTTCACAACGTTAATTGAGAGTTTAAGAAACTCGACACGCTAACTCGACTCGAAAAATTCAAGTTCGGGTTGACCCAAATAATTTTTGGTTCGGGTTTGGGTTTTGGTACATGTTACTTAACCTGTTTAATTTTTTGGGTTGGGTTGGAGTTGACTGGCCAACCCAAAAATGACCCGCCAACTTGAAATTTATTTGAATTCGGCCACCCTTTCTTAAATTGACCTGATTTTGAATTTTGACCCGAATGGTTATCCACCAATATTAAACTGGTCGGGCTACCCATGTCTGGGTGGAGTCGAGTTCAGGTTTAAGTCAACATGTATGATATTCAGATCGAATTTGAGTTGAACCTATTCGGGTCATGTCAGTTTCGAATTAGATACCGAATCTGACCCACATACCTGAATTAACACCCCTATTTATAAGGCATTGTTTAGGTCTAAATAGATTCTTTATTAAGAAAAAAATGGATGAGAAATTTGTGGGACTATGAAATAATTTACCAAAAGATACTCTTGCTAAATAATAACCATTCAATTGGGTGTTCTTAAAGTTCTTAAACAAGTTGGGCATCTATGAATCTATGAATTTCTGAAGCAACTTAAGGGGGGAGTTAGTGATTCTTTGAATAAGAAAATTATAGCTCACAGAGAAATTCTTTCAAAGAAGTAGCATAGATCTCGAGACATTATTGGGTTTTAAAATATTCTAATTCAAATTAAAAATAATCCAAAACTGTGATTTCAACTGACTTATTGTCAAATTGGCTGGTTCGATGAGACGAACCCAATGACACCAAAATTAATCTGATTTAAGTCGAGTCAAGTCGTGAAATCACTTTTGGAGTTTTGAGTGGTTGATTGGAAGATTAAATGAATTCTAAATCAGACAAACTTATAGTTAAATTGAGCGTCTCGATGAGACAAATCCAACAAGTCTAATATCTCTCAATCCTGACATCATTAAGATTTTTAAATATCCATAGCATGTCTTCCAATTAAAAGAATTACTCTGAGTCATATGATTGAGCAGTTCAGATATATGCATTATTTACAAAGGTTGTCACTCCCAAAATCTAGATATAAAGTCTTACTGCCTTTTTGAAGGGTGACCTAGACCTAAACCTTGATTGGGAGAGGAGGAAGGGGAAGGAATCATTTACTGTGCTTCTTTGAACTGAAGATCTGGCAATAACTCCCAACCTTTGTAACCATCTACCACCATCGATGTGCCCCCTACTCGTAGATGTTAGAAGACTTTTTGGAGTAATGAAGTACCTTGCAGAGTAACAAATACAAAGTGCGGAGGAATAAAATATCCTGAATGCAATATAATAAAATACCCTGAACACGACGTAATAAAACACCCCTAACATGTTGGTACAAAGAAACTCTAAACGCGGTATAACAAAGAACCCTGAACATAGTGTAATGGTATACCCTAAATACGGTGTAACGACATACTTTGAATATAATGTAACGACGAAGTAATGAATAACACCTTATAAAAAGTCTGACTATAGCTCCTGACAATAACTACTTACAATTGCCATATTTATAAAACGATGACTTTCTCTAGACATTTTGAAGCATTTTCCATGCATCATTTACTGACAAGTAATGTCTCTAGTTTAATAGTAAACATAGGAAAATCTTAAAATAGTCTAATATTAAGCCATCTTAGATTTTAATAAAAGAAATCTTAAAATATTCTCATCAAAATAGATCTTAAAATCATTAAATTAATCTTAAAATAAGATATCGTGAGTAAATAATTAATCAGGAAAATTTAAAATTGTTTTTATTCAAATACAAAAAAAGTTTTGTTTTGTTTATTTATATATCGAACCTTTAAACTTTAGCTGTTAATTGCGGTTGACATTTGATTGATATTGAGATGGATTCTTTAGAACTATTGTACTAAGAAGAAAACGTATCTTTAAAGTTTTATTATTCAAATGAAAAAAATATTTGCTCTCCTTAAGATTGCACATGTTAATTGACTATAAACATATTGCGAAGTAAACCAATGTGCAAATTGGGTTGCTAAGTGTGAATTGTAGAAACAAGACTTCATATTCTCGGTTCGAGTGCCTCATGAGCTTTTTATTCTTATTAATGAAAATTGTTTACAAACTCCTTATATTCGATGATATAATATTTTTTAAACTTTTTTTGCGTAAGTTGTACTTAGTGACTGACGGTTTCTTTTTTTTGTAAAACTGTCAATCACAACTATGCAGCATTTTCTTTATTGAAATAAAATTTTATACGAGATTCTTCACACACACACACACACACACACACACACACACACACACAAACACACACACACACACACACACACCGAACCTTTAAAAATATTGCGAGCACACGAAGCAATCCTCATGACCAGTAAAACTCTTCATCCACCAACTAACTTCCCGCATATCAAAAAATAAATAGCATTACACATATACTACCAAATTTCTAGGTATGTATATATGTTCTTATCGTAG